TAATAATATATGTAAAGAGATAGTAAAGAAAGAGAATTTGTTAGTAAGAAAAGATTGATTAATTAGTATATTATGTGATTTTTTGTGAAAAATATCCGCTCTACACTTTTGTCGAATTTTTGGAAAAATGATCAGCAGGTAGAGTTCTCTTAAATATTCATTATTATTCTAAAATACTTTATTTATTATTTATATCATATTTATTATATATATTATTTTTATTATATTTATATTAAATGTAATATTAATTAGTAAAAAATATTTATTATAAATATAACTGATTTTGTAATTATAAAAAAACAAGTTATAATTAATTAAATTTAATATAATAAGTTATAATAATTAATTCAATTAATAATTTAAATAAAATATTTTTAATAAAAATATATATTATTTAATTATTTTTATTATTAATATATAAAATTAACTAAATAATAAAAATATATTAATTATTTGTATTTATTATATACTATTGGATAACCATCAAGTTACTATAGAATATCAGTATTATATTATTATAAAATTATTCTACATTAAGTAAATATAATATTTATTAGTAATAATAAGAATCTATTTTGATAATAAAAAAATGCACTATATGACAATCTCAAAATATACTAATTATATTAAGATTGAGTAATTATAAAACATTATCAATAAAATATTGATTGAATACTTATATTATAATTATATTATAAAAAAGCTTAATTATAATATTATTTACTTGTTATTATTCAAAATTATATTGAATATTAAATATAATACAAAATCTGATTTCTTGTATATTTATAGTTTTATAAATTTTTATGCTTTAAATACAATAAATTAGTTACTTTAAAATATAGTATTTCAATATCTAGTAACTCAATTTGAGCAAAATTATATATTATTCAATTTATCTAATTAAATCAAATAGTATTATTTTTATTTGAATTAGATAAGATATTATATTTTAAAATTGGTTAATTAATATCAAAAAATAAATTAGTTACTTTTAAAATATAATATTTTAATATTTAGTAATCTAATTCAAACAAAAATACTACTATTCGATTTATTTAGTTGAGATAAACTAAATAATGATATTTTTATTTGAATTAAATTATTGGATATCAAGATTAGATTATAATTATATTTGAAATATGAAAGTTTATGAATATATAATACAAAATATAGAAACTTTATTAATTTATAAAAATATATTTTTTGTGCTTGAAAAATTTTGATACTATGAAAAATTAGAAATAAAATTCTTTTAACAAATACTATATATAAGAAAATATTATATAACTTTCCTATATCTAATAAAAGTTTATAATATAACTTTTACTATATTAATATTAAGAGTAAAGATGAGATTGCAATTAATTACAACTTGATTACAATTTTCTGATTAACTATTATAATTAATTACAATTAAATCGTAATTCTCTAATTAGATACTGCAAGTTACAATTAATTAAGATATTATTTTTAATTAAAAATGAATCATAAATTTTTAAGTTGAGTTAACTCAAGTTAATCTTTTATATTTATTTACTATATATTATTAATTGTTCTCTTTTTAACATATTATTACAAGTTTGTTTACTAATTATTAAATTATTTTATAAACTTGAATTTAAATTAAGAGAAAGTAATAGACTAATAAAAATATTAAAAGAAAAAAAGAGATATGTCAATTTTTATAGAAATTATATTTACTTAAAAAAAGATAATAATATGGAAGAGTAAAGATAAAAAAAGTGAAAGTATAAAATAATAAAGTAATAAATAATAAAAAGAATTTGAAAGGCTAATTTTTTGTACTTGTATAAAGCTTTTTAGAGCTAAGATAATATAATTAGTAGTAATAATAATAAAGATTCTTTTACTTTATTCTTTTTATAAGTGAAAAATATTCATTAATAATTAAAAATTCAAATAACAAAAATTAAAATACTTAAAATTCAATTTTAATAATTTTAATATAGTGATTTGTTCAGCATAATATAATATAAAGCTTAATAATTTAATAATAGTAATTTGTTCAGTATAATATAATCTAAAGTTCAAAGTTAATAATAACAATTTGCTCAGAGCAATACAATATAAAACTATTAGTGATTTGTTAGATAAAATATAATATAAGATCACTTATATATAAAATTTGAAGTATATAAAGAAAATATGAGAGACAGAAGGTGTTTGAAAAAAGATTTTTGTTAAAAGAGATTTTTATTTTTAGTTACAATATATCAAGTTAAAATTCAGATAGCATTTCTATTTATATATTTTTTGAAAATATAATTTCAAATAATAATAATTATCAAAAAGATGAAATAACTATTCAAGAATTATATAAAAGAAAAATAAAAAGTGAAGTAAATAATAAAATAAATAATAAAAAGTAAAATAAATAATAAAAAGTAAAATAAATGATCAAAGTAAAATAAATAATAAAATAAATAATAAAATAATTTGAAAGAGTTTTTATTATTATTATATAAATATTTTTGAATAATATATATTTTTCAATTATTTTTGAAATTAATAATTTTTATGTTACTAATATAACAATATTTTTCAATAATAAAAATCTAAAAGGATGAATAAGTTTAAATAGTAAAAAAAAGTTTTTTTTTTAATATTCTTTGTGAATTATAATAATATCTGATATTCTTTTTAGAAAGTTATCTATTTGAAGCTTTTAAAAAACTTTTCCTAATATTTCTAGCATTGAAATTTGGTATTATAAAGAACAAATAGTCAATATTTAAGAGTTTAATCCTGTTCTAATTATTAAACTAAATTCAGCTTGGATAACTTAGCACAATTGACTGTTTATTATATAGCTATAGATACTTTTGTAACACATAATTTTTCTGTTAATCAGTATAGGAATGATAATTCAAAGAGCATATTTTATTTTAAAAATTCCAAGAATTTTACAGCATGTGCGATAATCTCTGTAATCAGAAATTATTTCCAATGCTTTCATCTTATCAATCACTCTCTACTTTCCTTTTCAATCTTCACAATCAGCTTTCTAATGCTCTTGAATATGTTTATATTATTACAAACTTGAAAGTATATTAAACTGAATTAGCTTAAGATTTTAACTTTTTTGTAATTGCATAATTTAGAGTTGTTAATCAGTTTTAAATCAATTCAACAATTTTAAAAATTACTAATTCTAGAAAAGTCAAATTGCTTAACTATAATAAGTAATTCTTTTAAAATATGACTATAAATAAGTTAAATTATCTCCAAAACCAGCAATCTTCCTGGAACTGTTTTGATCCTGAAATGATCTGAAACCCGTCCAAAATTCTACATTTTAAAAGATTCTGATTTATCAAGAAGTTTTATTACTTATTTTCAATAAGTAACTTAAACCATTATTATAAGCAAGTTTAATTAGTAACTTGTAAGAAAAAAATTATCTCTAAAACTAATAATTTTCATGGGACTGTTAGGACCATTTGGAACTGATTAACAACCCTATGCATAATTATATCTAATCTATAATGAAGGATATAATTTAACAAACACTATTATACATCCAATAATCATATTGGTTTATTTTAGCTTTTGTGATAAAGTTGCAAATAAAAGACGTAAAGTAATTCATTAAATAATTAACGTATCGCTGTATAAAAATACCGAGTCGTCACTTGATGATTCTTGATACATAATTTCCTATATAGAATTCATTGTGCCCTTTCTGTCCTCACAAGCACCAAGAACTCTGCCGAAAAATAGCAATGGAGTTATTGAATCCGTCATCTGATAAATGATTAGGACTTGATATTTATTATCCGCAATATGATCATTATGTAGAACTCGTTCATTAAACAGATCAACTCAAGAAATGAAGATCCCTATGCATTGTGGGTGAGCTCATATAGGGCCCAGTGTTGTCACTTGGACGTAAATCCAGCAATTTGATTGGTTGGGACAAACGTCCTGACCAATCAAATTGCTGGATTTACGTCCAAGTGACAACACTGTTTAATATAGGGCAATACCAAATATGCAAATTTTGACAATGAAATTTATGTCACAGTATCACGTGAATATATAGTACAGAAAATTATCCAACTTACCATCGCATCTTATCCTCGCCATTTCTGTTTTTTTTTCGAAGCGCGATATTTGTGACGGTGTCGAGGAGTTGTCACCTAACTTCATCATTAACTAAGACCTGGGACGTGGATAGGGATGTTTTTCGCCATTCCGACTTTGGCGCAGTATGGTAACGTTGGTCTATTATTCCTGCCGACATTCTGCGTTTCCAGTTTCGTTTTGGCGAATGTTGTTTCTGCCAGGTAATCTCCAGCCAGGTAAGTTCCATCTTGTGGTTCATTTGATAATGTTTGTTACTGTTGCAGGTTTCGGTATCGGAACGGTTGTCTCTAACCATTTCCTGCTCTTCGTTGCTGAGTTTGACAAGTTTTTCCAACTTGCACTGTTTTTGAAGTCGTGCAAATTTGCTGGATACTATCTGTCAGAGTTTCTCTCTGGGCTTTGCTGTTTTTTCCCAGATAGTATTTTCCATCGTGAAGCTCTTGTTCTGGCTGTATAACGTCGGAGACGTTGCTGTTTCAGTTGTTATTGGCTGTGGTTTCGCTCTCGTCGTTCTCGAGTTCATTTTCATTCCTCCTGCGGCTGATATAGCGGAGATTAATAAAAACTCGACATAGTAGATTGAAGTTTATAATAAGTCCTTGAAAATCGATATACGTTCATAATTGATATAATATCGCTTTGTATTTTAATATAATTCGAGTTATACAAACCCGAACTCACATGATCAGTTACCGAGACAACACTTAGTACCCTAGCCATGGCGAATAAAATGTACGGTACACGTGATCTGAAATAAGTCTATTAAAATACTAACGAAGACACAATATGACGATTTCAATTAATCTTAGAAAAACCGTTTATTTTGTGTTCAAGTATAACGATTTGGAACTACATGTATACCGAGTCACTTAATCGCAACCATTCCTATAACGATAAAATGCGACAAAATTCTGAAAATAGGGATTGCCCTTAAATTCATTGGAATTATATTCAAAAAAAAAAGTATGAAAAAAAGCTTTACTTAACGAATTTACTATAACGATAATCGTGTAAAAGAAATATTTTTATTATTGTTTGACTACGTACATACGTATTTTGTACGTAAAGAAAATTTCATTGCAGTTGCATAATCACTTCCGTGCGTAGTTAGAGTTTCGGCCATGAGAAAATTTGACTGCAAACTTACGTTTTTGGTTACACTTGCATGCACCCACGTTCTTTCGTAACCTAATTAGTCAATCTAAACTGCAGGCGTTATTTTAGCATCATTAGTGTATCAACCAGTATCGATATACGTATATATACACTCATTGTCCACTTCGTTTTTGTCTTCGTAACCGCCAAAGTGCATGAAAAATAACAAACCTTGCAAACTTTAAAGTAAATTTAATACTCCACCACAAATAAAAAACAATGAGTCAAAATCGAGGTAAAAATGAAATGAAAAAACTTTGATATTCAACTATACGTGATAATCATCATTGTTACCATCAAAACTGTAGTACCAACTTCTATGCATGCAATACAAATGGAAAACTACGGACCACCATCCGTACTCGAGTACGTCGAGACAAAAGCGCCAGAAGCACCCAAAAAAACGCAAGTTTTGGTAAAAATTGCCGCAGCTGGTGTTAATCCGGCCGAATATAAAATCAGACGAGGGTACTTATCGTCGGTTGCAAAGATAAGGTTTCCGGCGGTTATTGGAGCTGATTATTCGGTACGTGATTTTTTGCTTTCATAAAAAACAATGTAAATGGTTTTTACAATTTGATTCGTATAGGGATTTATTATTGCGAAAGGAGATCAAGTTACCGATTTTGATATTGGTGATGAGGTTTTTGGGACAATTGCCAATGTCTTTTCAGGAAAAGGATCCTATGCCGAGTATGTTTTGGTTGATACAAAGCTAGATGCAATAGCGAAAAAGCCATCAAATATGAGTCACGAAGAAGCAGCCGGCGTCGGAATCGCATTCATGACAACCTACAGTGCACTAATACACGGAGGAAACCTAAAAACCGATGATGCAGCCAAATCATTAAACCAAAAAATCCTAATAATCGGAGCATCAGGCGGCATCGGCCACTACGCAACACAAATCGGAAAAAATGTTTGCCACGCGCACGTAACAGCCATAAACTCAGCAAAAAATGCCGAATTCGTAAAAAGTCTCGGAGCTGATCGCGTAATCGATTACACCACTACTCCAGACTTTGTACAAGCCCTTCTCCAGGAACAAGAAAAAGAATCGTTTGACATGGTGCTTGACTGTGTAGGTGGAGATGAATACTACCAAAAATCAATTCCTTTATTGAAAAACTCGGGGGTGTTCACGACGGTTGTTGGTCCGTTGGATCTAAGTAGTCAAAGTAGTCATTTGGGATACGGAAAATTATTGTCATTTGCTGGACGTATTTTATATAACAAGTTATTGGGAAAGAGATCGTATACTTTGGTTTTTGCAACTTTGCATTCTAAGTTTCCGGAGTTTGTTGGGTATTTTGAGAGAAAGCAGGTTGTTACAAAGATTGGTTCGAAATTTGAGTTGAAGGATGCCGCGAAAGCTCATGAACTGAGCGAATCGTGTCATGCTGTTGGAAAGATTATTTTGACTGTTTAGAGGAATTTTATTTCTAGATTATAGCTATTTTATTTGGTTATTATCGTTATGTAATAAAAATAAATATTCGTAATAAAAATAAATATTCGATATATATGTATTAACGTTAGTAAATACGTACATGCACGACTATCTACGTATACGTAATTTAATTCTCACGGTTCACGATAATCACAAAATCAAACGATCCGTTAAGCTTTATGATACATTAATGACGATTTGTCTCCAAATTATATCATGCTTTGTTAAACATGCGGGTACAACCGGTGACTGATAAATAGCTAAATTGACGATCTAGTATGATTCATTCCCCCACCCAAAATTTATATAAATAAGGGCCTTCCTCGAATTCAAAGAAATAAAAATAACAAATTCTCTTTCACCCAAGAAACTATTACTACCCAATAAACTATTAAACTACTACTACCCAATAAACTACTATTACCCAATAAACTACTATTACCCAATAAACTATTAAACTACTACATTACTCACCATGACTGAACGCGTCAAAGGAGATGTTCAATACGCCAGTGGAGCAGCTAAAGAAGCAGCTGGTGCAGCGATCGGAAATGAACAACTGAAAGCTGAAGGTACTGCTGCTAAAGTCGAAGGCACTGCTCGTGTTGAGGCTGCGAAAGCGGGCGGTCGTGCTGGAGGTTAATAAAATTTCAATTTTTGTTCAACGATTTCGATCAAGTATATTTTCGTTAACTTTTAAATTTCTAATGTTCCATAGGTACAGGTACTGAGCTTAAAGGCACCGTCAAAGAGGCCGGTGGTAATGTGAGTAAGAAATAAAATTTTTATTTCGTACTCTCTTATTTATTTTTTTACTATTTATATAAAAGATTCTCGATAACCAACAAATGAAAGCCGAAGGGAAAACTGATAAGGCTACAGGCCAAGGCAAGTGCATACTGTGTTTAATATACGTTTGTCATTATTTACTTTCTTTGTAACTAATCTCTTTAATAAACATCGATACAGCCAAACAAACGGTCAACCAATAACCAACGGTATCGATATACATACATGTATAATATTATTATAGTCCAGTTAAACATAATAATTTATCGATTTATCGTTGTGACAGCCATCTAATATAATATACAAAATAATCTCATGTAACTGTGTGACTTTTCATATACAAATAAAATAAATATTTTGCTTGATGAAGAACATTTGATTACTCAATTTTTTGCTAACGCTAATAGTTTTCATAAAAATTACGCTGAAAACTTCGATCTTCACATTCAAACATGCAATTCATACCGAATCGACTCTTAAAAATAATTACAAACTCACTTTATTAAAGTTTGTAATACTCACGAATTCAGCCTATTGAACAAACGAAGTCTATTTGTCTAAGTTTGGAAAGTACATTGCATTTATGTTGAAAACGACAACTATAAAGAACGGATCCTGGTGTGTTTTCGTGCTAGTTCAAAAGAGACTGAAGTTCTACTGATCCGTTGACAACAAATGGTGCATAAAGTATTCTATGAGAGATTTGAAAAGTAGTGCTGTTGATTGAGGGTTTTATGAGACCTGATAATATTGCAAGGTGATCGCTGTCGAAGAAAATAATAACGGTAAGGTTTGAATTTGTTTTTGTGTTGACTGAATCGAGTCACCACGTCTATATAGAATATCCTTGGTGAGTGTTGATGTTTAGTAAAATTGAAATTATCTCTTTATAATCAAAATTTTATTTTTATTAGTAAATATTTTTTTGTTTTTATATCAAAATAAAGCTAAGAACCTTTATTTTAACATATATTTTTATAGATTTTTTTCAGAAATATTTCGGATTGTAAAGTTAGTTACACAAACTTTTTATAATTAAAAATTCAAATTATTAAATTTTAATTATAATATGTTTGTGTAACTAACTTTACAATCCGAAATATTTCTGAAATTAAATTTAAAAAAATATATGCTAAAATACAGGTTCTTAGCTTTATTTTGATATAAAAACAAAAAATATTTACTAATAAAAATAAAATTTTGATTATAAAGAGATAATTTCAATTTTACGATGCTTTTTCTGGATTTCCGGTAATTTATTGTAGGGGTGTGTATAACATAGAACTCTGTAATTCCGACTAATAAACGAAACGATATCTTTCTTCTGCTGATGGTTTTTTTCTATTACTTTGTCTTTGACTTCGGTAGGACTTCAACTTCCTCTGTTCGAGTTTTTGATAAATCATCGAGTTTACATATATTATACCAAATTACCTTGAGACATATACCACCACTTTAGTAGCTTCAATTCGTGACTCGAAATGTTTTTGCTACTGCTGCTTCTGCTTTCTATGGTGCAGGAACTCGTAAATCGACAATATGTTTCAATGCTGCTACTCAACATAGAGGCAAAATTTTCAAAATCTGACCGGTAACTTGTTCTTTATAATAAGTTCCAAGTTCCGGTCAGAGTTGAAAATTTTGCCTCTATGTTGAGTAGCAGCATTGAAACATATTGTCGATTTACGAGTAATTACTAATACATAAATATGGTTTGATTCAAATGTATAATTATTTATTATGATACTAAAGGAATAAATCTGGTAGTTCTTTTTCTTAGTAATTAAATCGTTGTAACAATTGGCCGTATAATTCTCGTTGTTTCTCTTGGGCTTCTCTAGTATAGGTCGCCACTATGACAGCACTTCTTTTATCGATTTTGGTAAGTTTTCTTCTTCTCTTTTTTTATTGTTATTCATTTTTACTTAAAATTAATTATTATTATAATAATTAATTTTGCCACGAGAGAATTCGAATGGCTCCTTGCTGCTGGGATCTTTGCTGTTGAACGTTAAGCACGTGAATAATTTCGTGGATCGGGAACACTCTTTCGGGGGACCGTTAAAGCCGTGTAGTGTATTAAGGCTTAAGTCACTCGGATAATCATAATTATCCGAATTGACTTAATGCACATGACCTATATCTGTAACACATTCAATGATTGGCTGAATTATGCATAACACCATTGCTATCAAAGCAAAACAAATATCTTGTTTTGTGGTTTGGCCCAGCAAAATTCTGGCTGGAACTCTCATCAATGAAAAGAAGTACCAAATACTCACTAAAAACATTACCATCATGAAATCAAATTGGAATCTGATCACAATCTGGAGAAATTCACATTAGCAAAATGAAAATGATAATCAAACTCACTTATAACAACTAATAGCTTACATGACCAGTTTCCAATTTTGTTTCATACCAAGTTTCCTGAATATGAGTATTTGATATTCTTTTATTGTTGGATGTTGTTATAATAGTAACATAAAAACTATTAATTTCAAAAAATAATTGAAAAACATAAAATATTCAAAAATATTCAAATAATAGCAAAGATCTCTTAAATTATTTTACTTTTTACCTTTTATTTTATTTTTTATTTTACTTTTTAATCTTTTATTTTACTTTTTAATCTTTTATTTTACTTTTTATTTTATCTTTTATCTTTTATTTTATCTTGAATTTTATTTTTTATCTTTTAATTTATTTTTTATCTTTTATCTTATCTTTTATTTTACTTTTTACTTTTATTATATCTTTTCAATTAGTGATTTTATCTCTTAGATAATTATTATTATTTGAAATTATATTTTTGAAAAATGTATAAATAGAAATGCCATCTGAATTTTAACTTGACATATTATAACTAAAAATAAAAATCTTTCTTAACAAAAATTTTTCTTTAAATATTTTTCATTTTTTATATTTTCTTTATATACTTCAAATCTTGTATATAAGTAATTTTATATTATATTATATCTAATAAATTACTGATGACTTTATATTAGATTGTGCTAAGCAAATTACTATTATTGATTTTGGATTTTATATTATATTGCACTGAGCAAATTGCTATTATTAAATTATTAAGCTTTATATTATATTATACTGTTACCATAGTAACATAAATTTCTCTAATTCGATAATTTTTCATTGATTATGCGAAATTTCCTTTTTCTTAATTTTTATAATTTATCACCTGATTATCATTATTTTTATCCAATCGTATA